TTCTCTGATAACATGCTGAGGTTAATCCAAGAACTCTGTTTGCTTAGCTGCTTTCTTTCCCACACTAAGGAGGTACAGAGGAGGTTGAAGAAAGCTGGACTTAAATTTATAAGTCCTGTAACCAGCATTAATTGAGGAAGAAACTTGGAAAGTCACCTTTAGACATTAGCTTTCTACACTGGGACAGAAAATAAAAGAGTCACAGTCTTTTTGTTCCTATAGATAGCCACCCTCAAAAATTCAGTGTTTGTTGCCCTCATTTCTTTTTATCCATTAAAATTTTCCTTCAGGATGCACAAAACCATCCAACAGAAAACCTAGCACATGAATGGGGATGGTCAGCTCTGATAAGGATAAGGATTGAACTGGCAGTTGGAGCTCAGGATTCTTTCTGGGAGGGGGGGGGGAGGTCAATGAACTTCATTCTTTATGAGCCAGAGAGTAGAAGGAGAAAGAATGGCCTCACTCCCTTCTGGCCTCCATCTGCCCAAGGCCCGACCTCAGCACACTCGGCTGGCCAGCGATGGGCTGGAGAGCGCCAGACTGGGCAGTTGCCCCGGGACGAGCGGTAGGTGGGGTGGGCGCTCCTGATGTCCGCAAGGGAAGAAGCCGCGAGGAGACTCCACACCCAGCCCAGTCCAGCCCTGGCACGGCAAGCGAGACAGCAGCCCCACGTGCGTCCCTGAGCATGAGCACGCCCCCGCCCTGCCAGGCAAGCAGAGCCACGGCATCTGCGGCAGAAGAGTGCAGGCTGGCAGCGGAAGGCACGAGGAGCCACAATCCCAGCACAGCCCGTCCCCACTTTCCTCCCCCCCTTGGAAGAGCTGCGGGGCTCAGGAGCCTCCCCCCATGCCCCCCACCCTCCCAGGGAAGAAAACCATTGTGAGACACTCTTCTGTTTTAACTTTTTTTCCTTGTCGCTTTTTGGAGTTTTCATCCCGCTTTCGTGAGATGGCAGCGTTTGGGAAGGGGTGTAGCTGCCCCCTTCCCCCCAAGCCATCAATTGAACAAGACACTCTCCTGCCCACTGTCCCACCCGCCAGAGACCCCCTGGATCTCCCCCAACCCTGCCCGGTCCCCACAGGCATTTCTCTCCAGGGGCAACATCGAGCTGGCCACACCCACCCATTCTGCCATGACCACCATAGCCACGCCCACCCAGTGGGCCATACCCTCCCAGCGGGCCATGCCCACACGGTACCCAGTGATACATAAGTGGGTTTTGGGTTGCAGTTTGGGCACTCGGTCTCTAAAAGGTTTGCCACCACTGGACTAGAAGATGTGGGAGTGCTGCTTAAACCGCTTATTGTTTTGAAATTCCTTTTTCTCCAATCTCTCCACTCTCCAAGGAGCAGGACAAAAAAAAAGCAAACAATTTCTTTAGGCAATCTCTGCTGTGCCTGATCCTTTCTGCTAGTGGTGTGATCACATTGCTTTTAATGTGTAGAAGTTTAATAGCTTACTCTCTTAAAATCCCTCTCCAATCTTTCTGCTGGGACGAGGAGGAAAGAGTTAGGCAAAGGAGAGACTGCCTGCAGAAATTGCTTGCTTGCCTCCCCTTACCCTGCAAAGTGGAGAGATTGGAGAGGAAAATATTTCAAGCTGTTTGCTTAGAGTACCCAAGGCTCCCCATCCCAGGCTGTTGGTGTCATTGCACTGCTTTTGATGTGTAGAAGAGCAAATAGCTTGGCCTTATTTACAATCCTTTTCTCTCCAATCTTTCTGTTCTGCAACAAAAAAAGAAAAAATCCACATATCTGGCATAGGACAACTCATACTGCCTGCAGTGGTGATCTCCTGACTGAGGGACATTGCAAAAGTTGTAAATGGGCCATAAAATGATGTTTTTCAGCACCATTGTAACTTCAAACAGTTACTGAATGAATGGTTGATAAACGAGGATTACCTGTAAAGCCTTTAGGTCAGAGGTCCCCAACCTTTTGGGCACCAGGGACTGGTTACATGGAGAGAGGTTTTTTCGCGGATTGGACGGTGCATGGTTTTGTGCGCTGCCTGCATCCCGCAGATGGGGCTTTGCTTGTTTGTGCAGACCGGTTGCTGGCATGCCATGGCCCGGTACCGGTTCACAGACTGGGGGTTGGGGACCCCTGCTTTAGGTAATGAATCAGCATTCAGAGAGCAGCAGTTAATGAAAATTCATTTTGTGTCATCAGCATCACCACCACCATCCCTAGAGAGCTATCTCAAATGCTTTAAAAGGGTTTGGATTAAATGATCTCTGAGTTTCTTCCAATTGTCTGATTGTCACTATCATGAAATAAGGTACCTTGAGTAAAAAGTGCTCTGTTACCAAATAAATAGTAATATTATTTTTCTATTAATACACTAGAATAGGAGCTTTATTTTCATTACAACACCCCTGAACAGTGCCGGATATCCATATAAAGAGAGGGAACTAGCAGTTTAGTGTAGTGGTTAAGGTGATGGCTTAGAAATGGGAGATTATGAGTTCTAACCCAGTCATAGGCATGAAATCCAGTTAAATACCTTGGGCCAGACACTCTTAGCCCAACCCACTCACAGGGTTGTTGTTGTAGGGAGAGTAGGAAAAGGGAGTATTATGTATGTTCACCACCTTGAGTTACTTATAAAATAAGAATGGTGGGATAAAAATCAAATAAATAAAATGTATATATGTCTATCACAATATTCTCTTTTAAACATTTTTTTTCTGTCCTTCCTGGCATGTGAGATGACATGTGGGGGGCTTCTGGTGCTGATTAATGCTTCTCTGTGGGAAGGGTTGACACCTCAGGCTTTTAAAGGGTTTGTGGTCTGCCCTCTTTTTTAAGAAGCCATCACTAGACTCCACCGTATTGGATAATCTTCATCCTTTTTTTTCTTTTAATAACCCTATAATCCCTTAATTCGGGTATAGTCGGGGCGACTGGGTAGAGCTGAGCGTTTACTAGCCGGGTGCCCTGCCTGACACCTACGCAGAGTTCGCAGCAGATATTTTCTCTTTGTGTTCTGAGAGAGAAACATTCGCCGCTACTTAAGATTGAACTTGAAATATATGCCATAGAAAATTGCTGCTTCAGACATTTATCCATTCAAGACAGGAGAATGTTTTCTACTTTAAAACTGTTGGATAACCCATATATTCCTGCCTTAAACTTTAGTTTGGAAACTGACCAGGGGCCTATTAATTATTTAATGATGCATTTTCAAAGTATTTCTTCTTTTTTTTCTCTCTCTCTCTCTCTCTCATTAATAGCTCAGCACCTTGAGAACAGTCTTTCCTCTACTTTCACTTTTAGGCCAACTCATGAGGTAACTTTTTATATGATACCTTTATGGTATTACTTGCATATCTTCTCCAGCCCACAAGCAAAAAGAGAAAGGTGCTCATCTCTGCTCTAACTGAAATCTGGATTACTTATTTATATACCTTTGCTCTTTAGGCACAACATTATTTAGGGCTAAGTCTTCTCTTCCTGTACTCTATAAAATGTCATGCACAATGATGGTACTATGTCAATAAATGGTAACATCACCAACTTGATAAACTGGAAAAACCAATTGGGAAATAAACTGGGTTTGCCAACAAAATCAATACACTTCTGGAACATTAAGCATAACCCTCCTCTAGGTAATTGGCTAAATCGTTTTAACTTTGGAGCACTACTAAAATCTATTGCAGGAGAGAACCTCAAAGTGTGAAGAGAAGAAAATACACACAGAATCCCACACCAGTCTCCACATATTCAGGAGGCAACTAAACTCACATTAGTTCAGCTGGGTATAAAATATTCTGAAACAGGTAAAATCTTATGAAACTCAATTGATTTCCTTCATGTGATACAGTAACATGAAATTAATGTTAGGGAGAAATATGAACTCTGGCCCAGAGAAAACAGGCAAAAAGCATTTTAATGTCAACCTATCAGAAAGACAAGGGGCAACCTGACCTCTTCCCTCACTAGTTAAATAAATTTGATAATGCAAGCAAGGATTTCAGTGCTGAAAAAGTAACCTATTAGAATAAACTTAATCAAATTGCTTGTTTGAATGTAAAAACAAGAGCCTGCTTTTATTTATTTTATACAGTTTATCTACATTTCACTCCAGTGAGACTCCATGTGGTGTACAACAGTAAAAAAATAACAGTGCATGATCATATAAAATAACAGTATTGAAATAAAGTTTACGTCTCTCAATTCATACTGAGTTCCTTCAATTAAATATTTAAAGCAGTACCGTATTTGTTGCACCAAGATTAGCCTCTCCGATGATTTGTTTTAAAATTATTCATGCTTTAGGAGCTGGCTGTTTCATCTTAAAGTTATTGCACAGAAGACAGTTTGCAATGTAAGATTAAAAAATACACATAAAACTAAAGAAACCAGTGGGAATTAGCAAAGAAAATATGGAAAAACATAGGATCATCGTTAAAAAAACATAGGAAATGATAGAAGTTTGATTTGGATCACATGTAATTGAACATGACATTAGACTGTTATAAACCTTTTTAGCTGAAAGTGGTTACAGAAAAGCTCCCCCCCCCCAAAAAAAAAAAAAAATCTAGAGTCTTTCAAATGCATTGGGCTGTTACTTTCATAATGCCCATTGGTGTGCTGGCTGAACTATTACGGAAATTTTAGTGCAACCCATCTGGAGGACATAAAGGAAGGCAAAAGTTCTTGTATCATCCAAATGCATGCACACTTACTGTACTAAATTCTATCAACCTTATATTCAAATGCAGAGTAGAACATACTCTTAAGAGCTTGAGCACATGTACCATTATTTAGATTTAAATCCAAATTAATTTTAGAAGCTTAATCCCCAGGGTACATGCACAGCATCCAACTAAATGCAACTCTGAGCAAGACTTCAAGATCAAATAAGATGCTATTGTTTACTTGTCACTGGGCTGTGTGTGGGCAAAAAAACCCACACCAACCCCACATATGGTCAAACCTCTTAGGCAACCAAATGCAGCAAAGCAGATGCCCCAGAATTCCTGTTCACCTTACCTGAATATAATCCAAGACCATGCCTGCCAGGACCATGCCCATGCCTGCCAGCAGGTAAGGCAGGAGCACCTGGAGGCCAATCGCCAAGGCCGATTCCTCCTGCAGTTTTGCCATGGCCACTTTTGCCTCGGGAGGCTGCTTCTGAGGCAGGAGCAAAGGGCCATCCTCTGTGCTCTGGCTGCCAAGTTTGCTCTCTTTGTGTTTACTCTTGCTCTTTGCTTTCTGCCTGGATCGCTCTCCATTCCTGGTCCGACCTTCTTTCCGACGCTGCCGAGTTTCTTCCCCTTTCATGTTGATTTTTCCCATTCAGGAGTCTTTTGAGGAATGGATATGACGAGGCCCAGGACAATTAACCAAACAGACAATAAGCAAGAGGAAGAAAGCGATAAGACAGAACATCCTATCACAATATTTAAAAAGAGCATCCTGGTATTCTTTTTCTTTTGAAAACCACCACTTCTTTTCCAAACTATGCCAGCTGCTGCAGCTGTTCCCAGGGATACATGTTTCACCAAAGACCTACACAATCTGCCCACTTATTGATGCAATGGCAGCTGAATACTTCTTGTCAAGAGCCTCTGAGCTTCTCAGAGAAACTATGGCCCATTCCCCTGCTGACTAATAAAAGCAATGCACATGTTACCTAATATATACAGTTACCTAATATATACAGCCTACCCAAATCCAGAAATCTGAATTTCTAAGGCTATTTATGTGAAACAGATGGATTTCAGTGAAATAAATGCATCTGCGAAAATCAAAGCTATTTCTTGGGCGCCAAAGTAATGTCGTATATATATATATATCTAATTTATTTATCCAGTCTCTCAAGTCAATGCCCTTCAGCTTGTTAGATCCAAATTCCCATACTGTCTGGGCATAATTGGAGTTGTATTCAGAATAAAGAGTTGAAAGGGACCTTGGAGGTCTTCTAATCCACCCCCCCCCCTGGAATCCAACCATTCAACACAAATGGTTGTCCAATCTCTTTTGAAAACCTCCAGTGAAGGCACAGCCACAACTTCTAGAGGAATGCCACTCCACTGAGTGTTCTCTCTGTTAGGAAATTTCTCCTTAGTTCTAGATTGGATCACTTCTTGATAAGTTAACTCAGTTAACTTAGAGGGCAATATACGGGAAATCTGCATCTATTCACCTCTTAGATCAGGTCACCAGGAACCAGTTCCGTGGAGAGGGTTTTCTGCGGACAGGAGGGGGTGAGGTTTCGAATCCTGTCTGCATCCCACGGATGAGGCTTTGCTTCTTTGCGCAGCCCAGTTTCTGAAATGCCGCGGACTTGTGCCGGTTGGTCTTAGATCCTGTTTCCCACCCCAAAATATGCAGCTTCAGCTTCAAAAGTATCTATCTTTCTCAGTAACTGTCAGGGGTAGGCAACCTTGGCTCTTTTATGACTCGTGGACTTCAACTCCCAGAATTCCTGAGCCAGCATGGCTGGCTCAGGAATTCTGGGAGTTGAAGTCCACAAGTCATAAAAGAGTCCAGGTTGCCTATCCCTGACATAGGTCCTACTGCACCATTTCTATAGGTTTCCCATTCCTGTTGCTGATAGGCAATTATTGCATTTCTCATTGCTGTTTTCTGAATATTTTTGAATGTGCAGAGTGACAAAACATAGCCGGGACATTCTGAAGGAGGGAAATACATTCCTTTCTGAGGCACTTTAAAGTTGTGGGAAACCAGCAGATTTGCTGGAGTGAACCGATACTAATTTAATGTGAGACATCCCCAAGCGATGAAAGATTTGATGAAAATTTTTTTGCTTTCAATCTTCCAAACTGCCAATTAAATCAAAAAGTACATCAAACCAAGTAACCTTAGTGACCAAAACTAACAGCCTAACAGGATTCCTTCAGTACTGGCACCAAGACTTCTGACTTAGGATCGAGACCATCAGATTTGTAAGACTGATTTATCTCTCGGTGTCAGAAAGGATGAGCTTGTTTCTGCAACTCCAGATCTTCCCTCATAGGGAACGACAGCAACCAGGGCAAGGAATTGCACAGGATGAAGTAGAAGTGATACCGACTGCCTGCCTGTTCCCTTTCCATCACCTCCTACTTTCAGGTTCCTTGGTGATACTAAAAAAAAACAAACCCCATAAAAAGCACTTTATAAATAATGATCTGCAAGAAAAGAGTTATCCTTCTCATCTTGCAACTTCATCATAGAAGAACACAACCGGACCGAGATTAATGGAAAGGCCAGGAGACTCCAAACGGACCCATCAGGTTTAAAAAGAAAGCATCTGCTCTCAAGGGACCTTTCCACCAAGCCCGGGAGGAGAGAAGCGCCCCTCGCGATCCCTGGCCACTTACCCGGCGCCTTTGTCTTTTCTCGCCAGAGTCTACCGCCCCCCTGCGGCCCAAAGAAGGCGCAGCGCGCATCTGGAGCTCAAGCAAATGAGGACAGACCGCGCGCAAATAGCAAGGCGTGGCCTCGTCCACATCTGGAACGGTGGGTTCCCCGGCGCCCTGGATCACGCCCGGTCGGCTTTGTTGAGACAACCCGTCGGCCGAGGCGAACGGAAAAGGAAGCGCCGAGCCAGAGGGGGAGGGAAGGAGGAGGCAAGAGAATGGGGGGAAGCCCGCAGGCAGGGGCGGAGGGATGGAGAGGGAGCCGCTCCTCCGCCGACACAGCGTGGCGACCCTTAGGCGTTTCTCAGCCGGGGGGGCCGGCCCGGAGCCTGTTAGGGAAGCGGCCGAGGTTTGCTCAGCCGCTGCGGCCTCCTTCCTGCAACGCTACAACTGCCGCTCCGCTTGCAATGCAATCGGTTTGATTTGCTGGCATATCCAGGAAGTGGAGATAATCGGTGATTACGGGGTGGGGAGGAGAAGACTCCGCCCGTACTGATAGGTTCACATTATCCTTCCCCAACCTGGTGCCCTCCAGATGTATTTGACTACTAGGGTGCCGCATCTGGGCTGGGAATTCTTTGCTGTCTTCCAGTGGCCACTCGAAGGTTTGCTACGCCGTGTTTTGACTTTAAACTCTCAGGGATGTGGTGGAGTTGGGAAGGTTGGTCTCAAGTTTCTCTCCACCCCCGGAACGGAAGCCATATAGCAGGATCCGATCTGGATCGGTCACCGGGACCAGAGGTTTTGTCTTCCGAGCTTTTGGACTCGTTCTGGAGCCCATCCTCAGGGAACATCTCTGCGTGCTTTGGGCTGTTCTGTATGTGGTATTTAACCCAAAGCATGCAGAGAAGTTCCCTGAGGATGGGCTGCAGAACAAGTCCAAAAGCTCGGAAGACAAAATCTCTGGTCCCGGTGACCGATCCAGATTGGACACCGCAACATTATCTTGGGACACGTATATTCTCCTTCATTCGTGGAAGCGATGGAGAATACATTACTGGGACTTTGCAGGAAATCCCACTAAGAATTGATGCGATAATAATTGGTCTTTGGAGGCAAAATTTCTGAGAATGAAACCTTTCCAGTACAAATATGAATTACGTTTTTTAAAACTTTTTTTTTTTAAAAAAAAGAAAACTTGTTCTGAGAACAGCAACTGTGAGAGGGAGCTTGGAGGCCTAATGGACAATCACTTGACCATGAACCAGCAGTGTGCAGCAGCAGCCAAAAAAGCTAATACAATCCTGGGTTGTATAAACAGAGGCATAGAATCAAGATCACGTGAAGTGTTAGTACCAATTTATAATAAGATCACACCTGGAATACTGCAGCCTATTTTGGTCACCATACTACAAAAAAGATCTTGAGAGTTTGGAAAAAATTCAGAGAAGAGCAATTAAGATGATCCAAGGCCCGGAAACTAAAACATGCAAAGAACGGCTGCAGGACTTGGGTTTGGCTAGTCTAAAGAAAAGATAGCAGTATTCCAGTATTTGAGAGGCTGCCACAAAGAAGAGGGCATCATACTATTCTCCAAAACACCAGAGGGCAAGACAAGAAACAATGGTTGGAAATTGACCAAAGAGAGAAGCAACCTGGAATTAAGGAAAAACTTCCTAACAGTGAGGACAATTAACCAGTGGAACAGCTTGCCTTCAGAAATTGTGGGCGCTCCATCACTGGAGATTTTTAAGGAGAGGCTGCTAGACAGTCACTTGTCTGAAATGGTATAGGTTCTCCTGCTTGAGCAGGGGGCTGGACTAGAAGATCTCCAGGGTCTCTTTCAGAGTCCTCTTCTCTTCTCTTCTCTTCTCTTCTCTTCTCTTCTCTTCTCTTCTATTCTATTCTATTCTATTCTATTCTATTCTATTTGTCTCCAAAGCAAGAAATAGATATTAGATAATGGAAAACAAAGTTTCCTACTGAAAATCATGGTATATTGATGAAAGACTGTCAAAGACAAAGTGATTCCAAGTATAATTTGGATTTTTCTTTTTCCCTTTTCAAGTGAGATGAGATGGAGATAGTATGCAGAATGAGTGCATGGGACAGAATGGGAAACTTCTTTATGATTTATCAGTCATGACATTGATTATGCTAAAATCTAGCCAAGTTTCTTCTTCTCCCATATGCATATCTATCTATTGGAGACCATTATCACAAACAGAATTGCATTCTTTCAGTTGTACATTATTATGAAGGAAAAGCATGCAGTTCATGCCAAAGAAGGAAGCTTTAGTGAATGAAAGGTAAAAATAACATCATTGCTGAGTTATTGGGGTTTTTTTTAATCTCAAGTATCAAGCAACCACAGTTCTTGGTAACCGCAAATTGTTTCTAGAAAAATAAAAACAATTTTATAGAAGGTTGTGTAATGATTTTATCTCTACTGTTTAGTCATCCCAAGTGTTAGGATTCCTTTGAGAGCTGCTCGGAGATTCCCTCAGAGGCTTGGCAATTTTTTTCCCTGGGGAAAGAAAATGAGCGCATGGAAGTGGCTTCACTGGGAATAGGGGTACCAGTTTCAAGTAGTCCTCGACTTACATCCACAATTGGGACCAGGATTTCCATGGTTAAACAAGGTGGTTTTTGATTTTACAACAAGGTGGTTTCTGATTTTACAACCAGTTTGTTTGTTTTTTTTATCACAATTGCTAAATGAATCACTGCAGCTGCTAAGTTATCATGTAATTATTAAGCAAATCTGTCTTCCCCCCCATTGATTTTGCTTGTTGGAAGCTGGCTGGGAAGGTCAAAAAATGCTGGTTGCCAAGCACCCAAATTTTGATCATGGGGATGCTGCAATGGTCATAAATGCAAGGACTGGTTGAAAGTCACTTTTTTTCAGTGCCGTTGGAACTTCAAACGGTCACTACATGAATGGTTGTAAGTTGAGGACTGCCTGTAATGTGTGAATGGAAAGTGTGTGAGA